ATATGCACTTACTCGTACACACTTACACGCACACTGGCTCTCACATGCATGCCTATATTCATGCACACATGCATGCATGCATGCATGCGTGGATGCTCTTATACATATCTACCCGTACATGCGCTACCTGTCGCTGGATCTCAGGCATCCATTGGACGTGTCTGGTGGTGGTGGCCTTGCTCAAGGCTGCATACTGCACCGTTTCAGATTCTTCTCGTTGGAAAACAGGGGCAGAGGCGATTTGGGTTTTCGGGTTTGTGATGGTTCAGAGTCCAGAGTTGAGTTGAGGGCCTGAGTCGGTCTGACTCATGGAGTCTCGGGTTGAGGCGGCGGCCGACGGCTTAGGAAAGCTTTCGGGCGTTTCGCTGTTTAGGTGTTTAGGAGTACAGGCAGTTCAGTTCAGGTGTGCCGGATCTAAGCGGATACAAACCTCAAGCTTACAGCTTAGGGACTGACTTCGGCACTTCGGCGATTTCGGGATCTAGGGAAGGAAGCTCTCTAAACCGGACATCGGAAAAGCCCTCTAAACGCCTAGATGCCCCAAGCCCAAGAACTCCAAACTCTCCTGGGAGCTGAAGCGGGAGGTCCTTTGCCTACAGCACGCCGCAGACCTATGTGGCCTCCTCCTAAGGTCAGCCGTGTGGCTCACAGGGCCTAGGGTTCTACTTCTACAAGGGTTATTTACAAGGGTGCTATAAGGGTACTAAGGGCCTAGGGCCTAGGGCCTAGAGGCTCTAGAGGGCTTAGTGGGCTTACGGGTGGTGTCGCAAGACATGTTGATTCGGTTTGGAGGTCCGGCAATACCCAATGCATATATGTATTCATGTACTATGTATGTATGTATGCATGTCCATGTAAATGTATAGTTATGAAGATGTCTGGGTAGTGTGTGTAGTGCTCGTGTGTATGGATGCATGGAAGACAGGGACAGGGAACATTGGATTTGATGGATGAAAGGATGGATTCGGATGCATGGATGCATGGAAGACAATGGAAGATTGTATGTATGTATGTATGTATCTAGATTCTAGATTCGATAAACGCTAGCTGTCACTAGCTACATATATACTGATTGATTGACTTATGTGTGTATGTGCACCAGTGGCTATGCACCTCCCTATGCATCATATGCTATGCATATATGTATCCATGTGCCATGTAAGTATTTATTGTGTGACTTGTGTGTGTATGGATATGTGTACATATGCACATATATAGATGCGTGGATAGTGTGGATGTATGGATGCACGGAAGGCATGGAAGGACTGATTAATGGATGCAAGGATGAATGGATGGATGGAAGGATTGCATGTATGTATGTATGTATGTATGTATCTAGATACGAGAAACACTAGCTGTCACTGGCCACATATACATGTGGTAGTGCTGGAGACCCGGAGGCCCTGCTCAGAACCATTTCTGGAGTTACAGCCCTTGTTTCTTCAGGTGGATAGTGATTTTCCCCACCAGTGCCGGTCAATCCCAATTCCCGGACCCTCGGGCTTAATTGCTGCACTCCGGGCTTAATTGCTGCACCCCCTTCGGTAATTAAGGATTTTGCAGCAGATTTCAAGCCATAAAGTAGCGCCGAACCCCCGAATCCAGGGGTTCGGCGCTACTTTATGGCTTGAAATCTGCTGCAAAATCCTTAATTACCGAAGGGGGTGCAGCAATTAAGCCCGGAGTGCAGCAATTAAGCCCGGAGGCCCGGGAACCAACCAAAACAGTGCCGCCCGGCTTAATTGCTGCACCCCCTTCGGTAATTAAGCTCCGGGCCGGTTGCGGAAACAGAGCCACCCGGCTTAATTGCTGCACTCCCTTCGGTAATTAAGCTCCGGGCCGGTTGCGGAAACAGAGCCACCCGGCTTAATTGCTGCACCCCCTTCGGTAATTAAGCTCCGGGCCGGTTGTGTCAGCAGAGCCACCCGGCTTAATTGCTGCACCCCCTTCGGTAATTAAGCTCCGGGCCGGTTGTGTCAGCAGAGCCACCCGGCTTAATTACCGCACCCCCTTCGGTAATTAAGCTCCGGGCCGGTTGCGGAAACAGAGCCACCCGGCTTAATTGCTGCACCCCCTTCGGTAATTAAGCTCCGGGCCGGTTGTGTCAGCAGAGCCACCCGGCTTAATTGCTGCACTCCCTTCGGTAATTAAGCTCCGGGCCGGTTGCGGAAACAGAGCCACCCGGCTTAATTGCTGCACCCCCTTCGGTAATTAAGCTCCGGGCCGGTTGTGTCAGCAGAGCCACCCGGCTTAATTGCTGCACCCCCTTCGGTAATTAAGCTCCGGGCCGGTTGTGTCAGCAGAGCCACCCGGCTTAATTACCGCACCCCCTTCGGTAATTAAGCTCCGGGCCGGTTGCGGAAACAGAGCCACCCGGCTTAATTGCTGCACCCCCTTCGGTAATTAAGCTCCGGGCCGGTTGTGTCAGCAGAGCCACCCGGCTTAATTGCTGCACCCCCTTCGGTAATTAAGCTCCGGGCCGGTTGCGGAAACAGAGCCACCCGGCTTAATTACCGCACTCCCTTCGGTAATTAAGCTCCGGGCCGGTTGTGTCAGCAGAGCCACCCGGCTTAATTACCGCACTCCCTTCGGTAATTAAGCTCCGGGCCGGTTGCGGAAACAGAGCCACCCGGCTTAATTACCGAGCTAGCTCGGTAATTAAGTCCCTGTCCGGTTTCGGAATCAGAACACCCGCAGCAGCATCTGAATTCGCCCCAAGGCACAACACATTAGTTGATTGCCTTGCGACAGCAATGGAATTCGCCCGAAGGCACAACACATGAGTCGATCGCCCTGCGGCAGCAACGGAATTCGCCCGAAGGCAGCGTTGAGGAAATATGATATCACTGAGATCACATATAGCCAGTGATCAGTGATCGGCAGCAGTGGCAGCAGCGACAACAACGGAATCCGCCCGAAGGCACAATGCATGAGCCGATTGCCCTGCGGCAGCAACGGAATTCGCCCGAAGGCAGCAACAAGGAGAAAAGGAAATATTAGTATCAGTCTATCAGCTACTGGCAGACGCCCGGCCGAACACACAACACATGAGCCGATTGCCCTGCGGCAGCAACGGAATTCGCCCGAAGGCAGCAACGGAATTCGCCCGAAGGCACAACACATGAGTTGATGGCCGCGAAGACACAACATATGACTCGATTGCCCTGCGGCAGCAACGGAATTCGCCCGAAGGCAGCAACGAGGAACAAAAGGGAATCATGCTTTGCGGGCAGGCACAATACATGAGTCGATTGCCCTGCGGCAGCAACGGAATTCGCCCGAAGGCAGCAACAAGGAGAAAAGGAAATATATTTGTCAGTCTATCAGCTACTGGCAGACGCCCGGCCGAACACACAACACACGAGCCGATTGCCCTGCACCAACGGAACTCGCCCGAAGGCAGCAACGGAATTCGCCCGAAGGCACAACACATAAGTTGATGGCCGCGAAGACACAACACATGACTCGATTGCCCTGCGGCAGCAACGGAATTCGCCCGAAGGCAGCAACGAGGAACAAAAAGGGAATCATGCTTTGCGGGCAGGCACAATACATGAGTCGATTGCCCTGCGGCAGCAACGGAATTCGCCCGAAGGCAGCAACAAGGAGAAAAGGAAATATTAGTATCAGTCTATCAGCTACTGGCAGACGCCCGGCCGAACACACAACACATGAGCCGATTGCCCTGCGGCAGCAACGGAACTCGCCCGAAGGCAGCAACGGAATTCGCCCGAAGGCACAACACATGAGTTGATGGCCGCGAAGACACAACACATGACTCGATTGCCCTGCGGCAGCAACGGAATTCGCCCGAAGGCAGCAACGAGGAACAAAAGGGAATCATGCTTTGCGAGCAGGCACAGTACACGAGTCGATGGCTCTGCGACAGCAACGGAATTCGCCCGAAGGCAGCAACAAGGAAAAGAGAGATCACATATAGAATGAGCCACAGCATGCATCAGCCACAGCAATGGAATGCGTCTGAAGGCACGGCACGTGAGTCATTTGCACTGCTGCTTGCGGCAGCAACGGAATTCGTCCGACGGCAACACATGAGTCGATTGCCCTGCGGCAGCAACGGAATTCGCCCGAAGGCAGCAACAAGGAAAATTGGATTCGCCCACAGCATCAATGCAGTTGATGGTTCATGTCAGGTTTGCGGGTCTCCAGCACAGCCGGATACATAGAGTCCTAGTAGCCGTAGCAAGTAGCAAGACAGCAAGAATACTGAATACCGTGATTCCACCAATGACATGGGTTCACATCACATTATAACAACCAACACACACGTTGCCCCAACATATGTGCACACGAGTACTTTACTTAATGACATATTTGTTTTTCTGTTGTTCATAACAAACATGGAGTCGTGCACCTTGCTGTTGACCTAGGCTAAGATTCCGAAGATGATTTCTAGGGAGATGCACTTGCACGGTTTTCGGCTTGTGACAGGAGATGTGCTGAACTACCCGTCTCATGGGTCTGCTGTCTGCTGACTTCTCCTTGTGCACGTCGCTGCACTTGGCTTGGCGGGAAAGATGATGTTGCAACTTTCAGTTTATGCTGGCTGCACGTGCAGTTCGTTTTGAGACCTTTCGTGTTGTGCCTTGTAACTTGTACCTGTGAGTGCCTGTCAGCTCTCAACCATTAGGCTAAGCATGATGTTCTGGCTTGGCCAGACAAAGCGATGCATATTGTTGCTATAGTATTTGCGCCCCGCTGCCGGGCCTAGAGTCTGCATCCATATAAGCTATAGCAGGTTGTAAAGTGCAGGCCCTGCAAGCTGTAAGTCTGCAAGCCTGTAACTGACTGTAAAAGTGTAAACAACTGTAAAGTGTAAGGTCTATACTGAGTCTATATGTAAGTAGTTGGCGTCTGTCTGTAGTTTTATTAGAGCCATTGCGGGTTATGAGTCGTTGTTGTTGTAGACACAACTAAGAGAGCTGAGCACTGAGCACCGATAGTCTCAAACTCAGTGCGTAAACATCGCACTGCAACCCATGGCTGCCGCCAGCGCTGAGACTGGTGTTATGGGTTCTGACGGTTCTGGTACCGATGCTGCTGAATCTTCGGGGACAGGTTCCACCAGCGGGGCCAGTTCAGATTCGGACAATCGACCGCTCGTACCAAGGCCAAAGCCAAAGCCAAATCCAGCTGCCTCAGTTCCAAGCAGAAACAATGCTGAAGGGGCGGAAGAAGATAATGATGAAGGGTCGTCGCCGGAGGCTGCAGACAGTGGTGACGACGGTGACGAGAGCAGCCAAGTGAGTGCTTTGTCCATGGGCTTGATAGAAGAGTTTGAGGACGGGGACCAGGACTGTGAGGACGACAGGAGCGATCGCGATGAGAAGGTAGATGTTCTTCGGCAGAGTCATCGGCTAGGAATGACACAGTTGAGTGCATGGTCAATTGTGAGCTACTTGATACTTGTTAGTTAGTGGTTTGGTCCCACTACGTCCTACTTGTCCTGCAAACTTGCAAACCTTATCGTTGTAGGAAGCATTCTCAGTCTCTCAACTCTCAATGCTCAGTACTTGTGACCGACCCAGTATTTCACCTAAAATGCGATATAAGGTTCCGGACCTCAAAGAGACAGACGATGGCAGCTCCGACTTCGCGCACCTTTGTGCATGGCCTCGCAATAACTGCGAGAGGCTCTTCGCGTGTGAGAAGAAGGGACAAGCTTACAAGGCGACGGCCAGCGACATTTACAGCAATTACGACTTCAGAGTCTATGAAGCTTTTGCCGGTACATGCACCGCCTCCTCCACTTTGAAGAAGCAGTTAGCTGCGATAGCAACAGCTACTGGAACCTTGTGTTGCAATTTATTTGTTGACGATTCAGTGATGCGTCTAGGTCCGCAAACCAGCTTTCAATCAGTCGTGCAACACGCAACGAGCATGAGCCAACCTCGGTTTCAAAGCAGTCTGAGTGCATGTACTTTGTTCCTCGGTGCAGTCAGTCCGTTGGATCTGTGTCGCGTGCCATCCAAGGCCAATCTTGGCGTGATACTTGCGAGATCACGCAGATCGCGATCGAGAATGATGCTGTAACTCAGAAGGTTATCATGAACCTTCACAAGGACATGCGTGAAATGGTGGGTAGATTTGCACACGTTCATCCCAAATGGGTTGCGCAGTCATTCTGGGTTTCACAGTGCAAGTGCGAGCCTCGTTTCTTGACTCGTGACGGGTTGCTGAGTTGCTGCTAGTTTGTTATGCAGTTCTTAGTTCTGAACCTAAGGACGACGACGACAACTGTTGTCGAGTGCCCGGCGCGCCACTCCGAGCAATAAATGCTCTACCCGAAGACCTCACCGTTCAGCCGATGTTGCTTGTCTGCGGCCCTGCAACCTGCTTCAACCACGATCCCCAGCCCACGACACTTGTTGCACGCGCGGCTGTTCTATTGCATGCGACATGCTGCACAAACATATCCATGATCCATGGCACTGCGGTAGCCCTGCATCTCGGATTGGCGCTCCTCTGCGTTTCAACACGTGTTGTAATTCTCCCTATCCTAAAACACACATCGGAACATGCGGCACTGCGGCACTCCATAAAAAATCCCGGTTTGTAATCGTGGCGAGAGCCGAGAGCTAGGCCGGTTTTTTTAGTCTCAGAAACTCCAAACCGCCAACCTCTTGATCAGCAACTATAGCTGCCCTTCATATCCCGACCTGTCATGACTCATGACTGGCTAGAACCTACCCCTCGAAGGGTGATTCACTCGGATCTATGTGCATGCCGTGGATGCCAAGCACACTCGCGAGCGCCGGTACACGATATGATTTTTTGAAGTGCTTACTGTTACTTTATAATAATACAATAAGCTTAAGAGGCTTAAGCAGCATATAGCACATAAGCCATAAGGCCGAAAGACCCGGCCCGAAACCCCAGGCCCCAAACTCCTGAAACCCTAAGTCACTAAGTCCTAAACCTAGCTCTTGGCTTTGGAGTTCTTGTCGAAGCTTCCGACAGTGATGCGAACTATTATATGTAGCGGGTCGGGTCCTTAGTGACTTAGTGGGTTCTGTGAGTTCTGTCTTTAGCTAGATGATAGATGAAGGAACTACAGGAGCAGTGTTGGTGGTAAGGTTTGGGGCTCTCGACTTTCGGGTTCTTGTCGAAGCTTCCGACAGTGATGCGAACTATTATATGTAGCGGTCGGGTCCTTAATGGGTTCTGTGAGTTCTGTCTTTAGCTAGATGATAGATGAAGGAACTACAGGAGCAGTGTTGGTGGTAAGGTTTGGGGCTCTCGACTTTCGGGTTCTTGTCGAAGCTTCCGACAGTGATGCGAACTATTATATGTAGCGGTCGGGTCCTTAATGGGTTCTGTGAGTTCTGTCTTTAGCTAGATGATAGATGAAGGAACTACAGGAGCAGTGTTGGTGGTAAGGTTTGGGGCTCTCGACTTTCGGGTTCTTGTCGAAGCTTCCGACAGTGATGCGAACTATTATATGTAGCGGTCGGGTCCTTAATGGGTTCTGTGAGTTCTGTCTTTAGCTAGATGATAGATGAAGGAACTACAGGAGCAGTGTTGGTGGTAAGGTTTGGGGCTCTCGACTTTCGGGTTCTTGTCGAAGCTTCCGACAGTGATGCGAACTATTATATGTAGCGGTCGGGTCCTTAATGGGTTCTGTGAGTTCTGTCTTTAGCTAGATGATAGATGAAGGAACTACAGGAGCAGTGTTGGTGGTAAGGTTTGGGGCTCTCGACTTTCGGGTTCTTGTCGAAGCTTCCGACAGTGATGCGAACTATTATATGTAGCGGGTCGGGTCCTTAATGGGTTCTGGAAGTTCTGTGAGTTCTGTCTCTAGCTAGATGATTCGATAGATGAAGTCGTCTGCATTTATGTCCACTGTCAGCTCAGCTCCTGACCACTGACCAATGTCAGTGTCTAATAAGTCTAGTATCTCTCTTTAGACCGTGCTGTAATCAGTGACAATGAACTGATAACGATATCGTTTTGATTCCTCACCTGTCTCTGCAGGACTACCGCCCACAGCATTTGATCGGTGATATGGACGAGATGGTGACATTGTCGGCCCGCGCGAGGCTGGATGAGGCCTTCCACCAGACATCGCAGGAGTATGAATTGGACATTTCTTGCGACGACACAGCAGAGGCAGTCATGTTGTCTGAGACAGGACACAAGCTTATGGAGCGGTACATGCAAGTATTGCAGAATCGTGCGAGCATGCGTGCTTGTGCTGACTGCATTAAGTGCAATGCAGAGCGTAGTGCCAATGCAGCCCCGCCCGCCAAGCGATCCAAGAAACAGCAGACGCAGACTACTCAGCAGTCTCAGCTCGAGAAGACTTTGCTGCCGGAGAAGGACGGGTATCGACAGGGATATGGGAAGGATTGGAGTTGGTTTGGGCTTGTGCTTGCGGTTTGTGTTTGCGCTTGGGCTTGTGCTTGGGCTTGGGCTTGGGCTGGCTGGCTGCAGCGCAGTGATGGCTGCTTCGGGATATGACAGGGCTCCGGGCCCAGGGCCGTGAGGGTTCCAGAAGTTTCAGATTCCAGTGTTTCAGTCTCAGTGTTTCAGGATCAGGAATCAGGACTCAGGACTCCGACTCCGGACTAACAGGACTCAGGCCATTAAGACTTTGGGCTTTTTTGTTCTGGTTGTGACTCAACTCGTGATTGTTGTGACGGTTGTGGTTTATGAGTGTGAAATGTCTTTATCCAGGCTCGTGGCACTCATGGATGGCTCCTGACCCTGCAATTCCGGCAGTCCCAAACCTTGAACAATAAATTCAACCCGGAGTGATGCTTGGCCTGGCCCTGACTGTCTGACTCCCTAACCCGACCCTGAAACTAAAACCTCTGTGTCTAAATCCCTTAAATCAGCCTATATCCCTTAAGCTCCTGAAGCCGTAACCCCAAACTGTTCCAATTCCAGGAGTGCCCAACTCCTGTGGGCGATTGCGAGTTTGGGTTTTCCAGCAAGAGCTTGGATCGCAACCGAGAAGTTTTGACATGTTACTGTGCAGGGACAACTTGCACAGACGTCTCTTGCATGGGCAGCTTGGATTGCTTGGATGTGCAGCGTACAGTGCTGTAGACCCCGCCACCCGATGACACCAGACCTTCCAAGATCCCTTAATTAAGGAATCTACCTTAAACTATAATAGGATCCCTGATATGATTTAAGGTCTATTTTTTAATTAAGGGATCTTGGAAGGTCTGGGACCACGCTAGAGTACACGTCGTGGTTGCGGTTGCTAGTGCCGTGGTAGTGCTGTGTGTGCTGTGCTGTGAAGTGATGTGCATTATGCTGTATGCTGCGTTGCTGCAGTAGTCAATCGTTGTGGCTGTGGTCCAGGCAAGAGGAAGCAATTGATGGGAAACTCTTCCAGACCTTTGGCAGTGTGGTTGGCGAGTGTGCTGCACTCGGGTCCAGCAGCTCGGCAGCCTTTATGATATGGCTTATGGCCTTATGGGCCTTATGTAGTGCTATGCTTTGCATTCTCTCTCAGGTAGCATATCGTCTGAGTCGTTTGGCAATGCCAGGACATCGTGCTTCATGAATGCACAACTGGATTTGATGGCACTCTGCTACAGAAGTATCTTGGACACATGTACCACATACACATGTTGCCCAAAAATCTGGGGCCGAACTACGTGGGCTGGCCTGCCACTCGGAGGAGGCTCCTGTAGTCGGGGTTGCTGGTTGCCAGTGGCCAGTCTTTCGATACTCGACTCAGTGTGTGCTGCACTAGGAAGTTCAGCGTGCTGCTGAAGAAGGGACGATGCAAGCTTGGAGAGGGTGGCATTTCGGGCATCACTGCTATGTTTCGCAAGCCGGTGCTGTCGGCATCCAGCTTCCAATGTGCTCCGAAGGTACCTTGTCATAGTGCCTTTGTGTGATTCTGTATTTGTGCTGTTGTGCTTGTTATCTGCTATCTTAAGTTGCACCTGTCTGTGGTTTCCGGTTCCCTCTTGGATCTCGAGGAGTTGATCGGGCAACGTCATGCCGAGATGTGCAAGAAGCAGCGTGTTCCGACCAGTTCAACCCCGGCTGAAGCGCTGCCAAGCCCCTTGTTTTAGTTCCGCCAAGTCCGAGGCTCCGAGGCCTGGGATGAGGATGACTGTTCAGAGTCGGAGTCGAGGGTAAAGTTGATCTGAGGTACCAGGTCATTCTATTTGAAGATCTACAAGGATTTGCCGAAGGTGGCAAAGTGTTTGAAACGTGGAGATGCTGTGGTGTGTAACTTGGAGCAGAACCCCAGAAGCCGCCCCATAGCGTCCCGCATGATGCCATGCCTTTTGCGTACGGGATTGCTCTTCGTATGCCATCCGCCGCCAGCGGCACAGAACGACCAGCAGGGCCAGCAGGGAGACGAACAGCCGGAGGAGAGGCTTTTGTGTTCCGAGGCCGGGTGACCCGGGTGAAATCACAGTGGAGCCCTGTGTCAGTGTCTGTGTCGAAGAGTCACTCGAACCTATATCCTATATCGCTATATCTATTTCCGTATCTGTATGTGTCTCTGTCTCTATCTTTATCTGTATGATTCTATGATCTATGTCACTATTAGTCACCATGGCTACGCTGTCTATGTCCTCTATGTCACAAGTCACAAGTCACAAAAGTCTTTGTCTCTATCGCTATGGCTATCTCAGATAGGCTATCTCTATCTCCCTGTGTGTATTACCTCCATGTCTGCAGCATCTCTATCTCTATCTCTTTCTAGTTCGTTCTCTCAGTTCTCTCTCGCTTGTCTCTATCTCTATCTCTATCTCTAGCTCTAGCTCCAGCTCCAGCCCTAGCCCTAGCCCTAGCCCTCTCTCTCTCTCTCTCTCTCTCTCTCTCTCTCTCTCTCTCTCTCTCTCTCTCTCTCTCTCTCTCTCTCTCTCTCTCTCTCTCTCTCTCTCTCTCTCTCTCTCTCTCTCTCTCTCTCTCTCTCTCTCTCTCTCTCTGTCTTTCTGTCTTACTCTCTCGGTGCAAGTGTATGCCCCTGCTGTGGCTGCTCGTGTGCTTATATTCTGTGCGTACGGCACAGCTACAGGCTACAGTCGTCAGTCCTCAGAGTCCTCAGTCCCTGTCAGACCCGGGGTCCTGTGCAGGAGCACATGCAAGCTATGGGCATGAACGTGTTTGAGCACTTGTCGTGCCCGCACAGCAGTTTCCCGCACTTCCAATGGATGCCGCCTGCACCAGCGCAGAAGAAGCTTGCGGGCAACGTGCCTCGACAACATTCAATCATTCAGTGGTGAAAAAATATGTCTGTTCGGGTAATCCTGAAGCCCAGCCAGGGACAGTTTCAGGTGTGTTTGTGTGCTGCATGACTGCATGTCGCCATGTCGCCATCGTACTCATACGACATTGCAACGAGGCCATGCACTCAGCAGTCGTCGGGGCCATTTGGTGTGCAGTACTCAGCAATCTCATCGTGGAGAAACCTTCAACGTGACATGCGCCCCAGCCATCAGAAGAATAATTTTGACTACGGTTTGCAGAACGAAGAGAGTTGAGTTGAGAGTTGAGAGGACAACAGTGACAACAGACATGAGCCTAGAGCCGTCCCATCACGGCACGGGCTTCAGCAACTCCGGTTTTGGATTCGGGGCAGCCTGGCTGCTTTGAAAAGAAAAAGATTTGCAGTTAGTGCAGTGTGCAGAAGTTACCGTGTGCTGTGCTGGGCATTGGCATAGTTTCCGGCCATGGAAGCATTATGAGATCATGTGTTGCAGTTTTGTGCCGTCAAGTCAAGTCGTCAAGCATCCATTAGATTCAAGATACATGCAGTGCACTCGCTGTAAAGCTGCTATGGAAGCCATTCAAGCCGCAGCTGCGGCTTCGGCTCCGGATGAGCAGCGAGTAGACAGCTGTGCGGTCTGCTGCGGGTGCATCAGTTCGTTCAAGGCGACTGGCGAGCCAGAGTTGTTCCTGTGCTCACTCCATGCGGCCAGGCGCCGTCAGTTTCATCACAAAGCAAAGAAGGACGGAGCTATCCAGCACGTCGTGGCTATGTTTAAGGCAGATCCGGAACGCTATTTGCAAGCCTTGGCCGAGTTCTGCAACGGGAAGCCGCCGCTGAGCTTTAAAGCTACGACACTTACAAGCCAGTAGTCCCCCAGTGCAGCTTGAAGTGAAGAACCGCGCCCGGCGCCGGGGATCAGTTTTGGCTTGACTTGACTTGGCTGCTCTGCTAAGAAAATGTTTGACTGTTTGTTAACAACTGTGTGCAGTGCGGCAGTGCAGGGCTTATCGGCTGCATGCTGTTACAGGGCATTGCGCTGTGTGTAGCATTCCGGCCATGTTTTGCAGTATCGTTGCATCAGGCACTGCCCACTGCACCACCAAAGACACATTGACCAGCTCCTTCAGGATTCATGCTCATGCCGCCGCATACCGCAGAGACTGAGGATCGAGAGCGAGGGGCGAGGGGTTCCACTGTTCCAGGCTCCAGGAGCCCAGCGGTCCTCCGTGCCTCGGCTTTGCCCATCATGATAAGCCACGTGGCCTCAGAAGCCGAAGCTGAAGCTGCGAATGCAGCTGTGCCGAAGCTGGTGGAATGCAAGTGCGCGGTTTGCTGCGGCTGCATAAAGTCGTATTTGCCGAATGGCATGGCGAACCTCTCTTTGTGCGCAAAGCACGCAGCAAAGCGCAGGCAGTTCCATGATCAGGCAAACAAGGCTGGAATGCTGAAGGATGTCTTGGCAATGGAGAGGACAGAGCCGGACCGTCACCTCCAGGCCTTGTGCACCTACTGCACTGGCCAGCACAATGCAGCAGCGCCCCTGAGCTGCAGAAACGTATGTCTCAGTAAAGATAAACAGTTACAGTTACACGTTCCTGGTTCGTGTGTGTGTGTACGCATCGTGACATCGTGTCCCCGCAACAGTCTGGGTGATGCTGCAGAGGTGACTGAGGTGTGTGCACAGTACTATGCTGGGGTCGGGTGGGTCAGGTGGTCAGGTGGGGTGAAGTGGGGTGCGGGTGCTGCGGTGGGGTGGAGAGTTTGGAGAAGACAAAACTCAAACCGACTCGAACCTTTATGCCCTAGGTAGCAGCCTGGGCCTGGGCCTAGGCCCTAAGTAAGCCTAAGTCGAGCTCCTAAGCTAAGCCCCTAAGCCTAGGCCTAGGCTTGAAACCCTAGAAGCCCCGGGCCCCGGACACTTAACCCAGTGCAAAATTTGTGCCAGACCAGGGTTCAGGGTTCGTTTGTGCTTCTTATTGTTCTTGATTCTTGCACTCTGAGCTTGTGGACCCCAGGCTGGGCCCTAGGCGAGCGAGAGCGAGGGAGCGAATAGGAAACACAACGGAGAGCGAGAGAGAGGGAGAGAGATAGAGAGAGAGAGAGAGAGAGATAAATCAAGAAATAACTTGGACTTGGATAATCATAGAAGTGAATGATCCACAGGCCCACAGGCCCACAGGCCACAGGACTCCTAGGTCTCCGAAAGCCGAAAGCCTAAAGCCATAGGAGTTGCATTCTGCTTCGCTTGTTTGGCCGAAGGTCGAAGCCCGGCCGAAAGAAGCCCGAGGAGAAGACACCGTATGATTTCGCTGCGCTCATCAATTCCAAGCGCGGCACTCAGCTGCAGGTTGAGTTGAACTGACGGGATCCATTCGGCTGCAATCTCAGTTCAATGGTTATAAGTGCAGTGCCATTGTTGGTTGACGGACATGGATGGGCTTCAGGACCGTCGGCGTGCTCGAGGCCGACGACGGCATTATGTCAGCTATGGCATATGCAGACTATGTGGACTATTATACATCCAAGGCTCCCAGCTACATGAGCTGCACGGACGCAGGATGTAGGTTGTGCCAACCGTTATGCTGCAGTCTACAGTCTCTGGCAGCCATGCGACATAGTGACCTGTGACAGCCTGTGAGTCATGTAAGTCATGTCTATATTGCCATCGTTCGTGTGAGAGCCCAGGACTGACCCCGGCCAAAGCTGACGAGAAGTGGCGTGCCGATCTGGTTGATCCATCTGTGAAGAGGAAGAAGGTTCGCAGATGGGACACCGGCGAGATGGCCACATGAAGCGAACATTGGGTCACCTCAGGGCCATAAGTCGCAGGTCGTAGGTCGTCCTTGTCCTGGTCGTCTGTTTGTCCCATAGTCTATAGTGGCATGCCGTCGCATGGCTGCATGTGAAGCTCAGCTTCACGAAATTGCTATCTTTGTGTCTTTGTGTGTCTTATCTGAGGTGACATTGCTGTATGTGCAGACGAGAGATGAAGTCCGAAAGACGAAGTACCAGGACATGACTCACTTGACTGCACCGTCACGTAGGGTGTTGCACACAACTGTGTCATTCAACATGCTAATCAGTTTAGCTTGGCTTTTTGGCTTGATCACGCAGCAAACCTAGGCTAAGCTGCTGTACTGACAGGACACCAGTGTGCGAGTGGAAACGACCAGCACCGGCAAGACCGAAGCGGCGACTCAAAAATTCAACGTGGCGGCTTCGCAAGCCGCCCGCAGGCTCGTGGATGCGGATGATGGTGCCCCGTCCCTTGCGGTGACTGCCCTGTGTTCGCTGAACAAATGTACTGCGTGAGCAACCTCAGGAATCAACTTCAATTGTCAATTTGGCTTATCCTTGGAAGATGATATTTCCGTGTCGATGGCTGCTGCCGGTTCTACTTCGGCCACCACCCGTGGCACTCGTAGCACTGCCCCAGGTGGTGGTGGCGGCCGCGGAGGCAAGTCAGCAAAGAAGTTCACTTGCGCCTTGGATCCATGTATAGTCCATAAATTAACGGCTTCGAGTCTGCAGTGCACGTTCTGCAATGGTTTTCAACGAGGTGTTGTTGCAGCTTCAGCAAGCTTGCGGGCAAGTACTTTGAAACTGTACAACCAGACCCAGAAGGTTCTATCCGATGCTGTTGCCATCGCCGGTGATGCTATTGCCAAGACCCAGGCTAGAGACTGAGATATAATTACACTTTTTGATCCGTGCGAGTGCGAGTGTGGTTTTCGTCCGTGTGCGAGGCTGAAGAAGCAGCAGCTGCCCAGGCTCGTCGCGAAGCTATGAAAGGAGAAGGCGACGGAGATGAAGATGAGGAAGAAACTTCTTCGAAGTTATCTGATGATCCGGTCTTTGCAAAAATGCAGCTACGATTGAAGCTTGAACCTTGTTTGCAGTAGGGTTTGTTGCAGCTGCGTTCCACTGTACTGTTCACTGTTCACTGTTCACCCACGGACATTGGCATTGTCATTCGTGAGTCGTTTGGTTCTGAGCTGCAATATTCTGAGGGACTTTTGTGCATTGGGTCGGAGAAACTCAATGGGCAAGTCAGCAATGATGAGATGACTGCGGATGAAGCCAAGATGCAAGAATATGTGGAGGCTGACGGTTACTTGAAGGAGTGTTTGCAGGAGACACCCAACACCTCGTTGATGTCTCTTGACCGTGTCCGAGCACTTCGGACACGAACCGAGCTGCTCGGCAGTGTCGAAGCTGTCGAGGAAAGCTTCGCATCAGCAACGAATGGCATGCATTTCTTGCAGCAGATCGGCGGAGCTTTGAAAACGATCGTGAACCAACACGTTTCGGCAGCCCAAGCGCTCAAGAAAGCTCGGCAGCAAGAAGCCGAGACACATCGGAAAGAACAGCAGAGACAAGTGAAGGAAAAGGAACGAGAAGACCAAAAGAAGGCTAAGCTGCAGAAACAGCTTGCCAATGCCGCCAAGAACGAGGGGTCCCCATCGGGCCCAGCAGCAGGAGGGGATGCCAAGCGCCGCCGCCTGTGCCCGTCCGCCTTCAGCGAGAGCGACCCAGCGGTGCTGACAGCGCAGGGCTGGTCGGAACGACAGGTGACTGTTGTGGAAAACTACGCGCCTCGTCTTCACATCACAAGTGCGACAGTGACCGTGAATTGTTGCTTAGATCATCCCGCTTCCCGAGGCATCGGCTGCGGGCAAGATCTTGGAGGGTGACAATGTCATCATTCGCTGCCGAAGAGCAAACATCAAAAAAGCTATGGAGGTTGCTTGGCGTCGCATCAAACTCGCTGCTGCTGCATTCCGTGAAGTCACAAATGTCACAAGCCACCTGAATCGCCTGAATCGCTATAACACTTGGAACAGCTAAGTTCAACGCGAGCCTCACGGGTTCGTTGGAAAGCAAAGACATCGTCTTGCTCAACAAGGAGGTCTTGGCGGAGATCAAAAGCTTTTTGGGTGAGCTGCCGCATCTGTTCGAGGCCGGTCATGCTAGTTGTGTTATTGAAGAATCGAGAATTCAGAGTTGCTCCGAGCCTCACGGCCTCACGTCTTGTAGTTTGTGGAGTTTGCCGTGGTTGTGCTGTTGTCTGAGGAAACCCAGAAGCCCCGGCATGCAAAGCTCTTGGACGGTGACTCTCTTGCCACTGCTGCCTTGAACATGTGTATGCATGACCAGCTTCGGGACAACTATGAGCGTTACTACCTGGAGGTGCCACGACGCCACGAGCCACGATGTTTGTGTGCAGTTCTCCTGTTGCATCGTGCAGATATAAGGGCAGGGTTTTGTTGTGTCAGTTTTGATTGCTGCCGCGCAGCCTCCACAGGATCATGCTCTACGACCACGGACTGGTGTGGTGCTCGACTTCCACGGCCTGAAGGAGAAGCTTGGTGCGAAGGACAGCAAAGGGGCTGCGGCTCAGGACACTGAGGACTCGGACCCACACGCGACGGCCAAGGAAACGAGTGCTGCATGAACGTGCAATCGTGGTGGTAGGTTCCTACCGTGTGGTCCTACTCTCTTGTGCTCAAGTATGCAGGAGTGCCTTGGAAAATTGACGACGGTGCACCTGATCGGAGAGCAGGTGGACAAGGTTCACCAGCATACGATGCCCGGAGGAATGGGTGCGATTGTCTTCCAGGCAGCGGCAGGGATCTCGAGTAAGCTGCCTAGGGCCTGGGGTTTGTGCGTCACAGAAGGAGTCGAGTGTGAGGACCGTCAGGATGGTGTGAGTCACGGTCACGGTGTGAGTCTGTGAGTAGTGTCAGTGTCAGTCATGAGTCATGAATGATGACTGAGCGGCAGAGTGATGTGAGTGGTGTCGGTGTCATTCTGTTGCACAATGAGATGCAGCAGCAGAGTCAGTAGAGTGTGAGTCAGTCTGAGTACCTGAGGCGCTTGGTTGCAAGCGCTTCACCGTCGCCGGTGTCCTGGACGTGATGAAGCTGCCTCCCGATAGCCTGAAAGACAAAATGGAAGCCTTCATGAAGCTGACGCCGGAGATTGCTACCAAACACGATATGAATGTGTTGTCCGGAGCCCTGCTGCCAGGCATTTGGATGTGGTGTAGTGAGGCTTGTAACTTCGTGAGTTGAAGTTAGTTTATACACCGGCAAGCATGCAGGTGACGCACTTGTGCTTCAGCCTGGCCAGATCCTGGTCACAAAGACGCACAACGAAACAAACATATCGGCAAGGCTGGGCTTGGGATACGTGCATGCAATGGAGCCACTGGAGGCTATGAAAGCCTTGGTGCACCCAGGTCTGCACTAGTTCCAGTCTTTTCGCATGGCTAGCCCGTAGGACGACGGCTGCGTGACTCAGTGGTTATTCTGTTCTTGCTGCATGAAGGCAAGGGCCGGAGCCAGTGGCCATGATCGAGTTCCTCATTGCACATGCTCAAGAAGCATTCGCGGAGAAAGCCGCTTTTGTGCCTCCGCCAACAGAAGTGTCTGATCCTGAGAATGAGGATGATGAGAAAGATGATGGGAATAAGACACATTCCGGCGAGGACGAGAAGGAGGGACACCCGAGTGACTTTAATCCAAAGTGTGCGAGTAGCAGTGTAGCAGTGTTTTCGAGTTTTCGTTTGCAGGCAGGTAGACAGCAGGTAGTAAGGTAATCTTTCTCACTGCACCCAGGCACCCAGTCATCAGATTGTAGCTGTCTTATTGTGTGCGAACTGGCGAACTTGTTTGCAGGACGAAGAGGAGAATACCAATCGCTGCGACAGTGACGGAGGTGGAGCGGAGTCTCTTCTTCAGCAGCTTGAAGAAGACATGGAAGATGATGAAGCTGCAGAGAAGGCTGAGGCTTACACGGGCCCCGATATATCTTTGCTGTTGCATGGCGCATGGTTTAAGCCATCAAGTGCCAATACGTAGCAAGTGTGAGCTGCAGATATATTATTGTAGCAAGGCCTGGGGCCAGGGGGTCCTGGAGTCCCGTTTTGGAACATTAAATGTTTCTGGCTGGCCGGTCGGTTGTTTGGCAGGGCGAAGCTGGAACCACAGAGGCTGAGCCGGCGGAGCCGGAGAAGACAAAGCAGAGTGAGGATTTAGTCCATTAAATCCTTAAAGCCATGACTCCATGACTGTAGGCAGGCTGCAATGGTCTTTCTAGGATTCTAATCCTATCTATCATGAATCATGACTATCATGTGTGACATGATGTGCGCTGTGCTGCACTCTAACGTGTTGTGTGTCGGGGTTCTGGCCGTCTGGTCGTTTGAGACTGAGATTTGAGTTTGGCTCGTTTCGACAATGTATAGAGCTGGATGTTGTCAACGTGCGGTTGCATGGTGTGGCAGGACAAAGATACGGAAAAGGAAGATCCACAGTCACTGGTCACAGAGGCTGAGCCGGCGAAGCGCGAGAAGACAGAGCAGAGTCAGGACTTCTGTCAAGCCGCAGCTGTTCAGTGTTCAGTTCAATCATTGGCTCCAGTCTGCAAGTCTGTTTCGAGGCCGATGTGTGAATGAACGTGATATATTTCCATGTAATGCGGGGTCTCGGTCTCGGCGAATTGGGACGGTCTGGACGGTCTGGGCCAGAGTCTGGGCTGGTGCAGGACAAAGCTGAAGATGCCAAAGATCCGCAAACAGAGGCTGAGCCGACGGAGCGTGAGAAGACAAACCAGAGTGAGGACCTCCGTTAAACCACTCAGTTCAGACTAGTGACTGCATTGACTGCGTGCAGTCTGCAAGTTTGTTTACAGGCTGACAGGCTGTGTGAATGTTATATGTTGCCATTTCCCATGGAATGAGCTGTCTCGGCGAGCTGGGTCTGTTGTCTCTGGTCGAAGTTCTATAGTAGCACATGCACGGTGCACAGTTGTGTGGCAGGACTCCTCGACGGGAAGAAAAGAGCAACAGGGGGCCCGGGGCCACACGGACGAGCAGGCTGCGGCGCGCTGAGTATTTTCATCTTGCGGTTGCAGTGCGGTTGCATGGCAAGTTGCAGGACAAAGCTGAAGATGCGAAAGATCAGCAGACACAGGCTGAGCCGATCGAGCGGGAGAAGACGACGCCGAGTGAGGACTTCCATTAAACAGCTCGGCTCAGCCGCTCAGTTTCCTGGGTCTGATTCGAGTGGTGTTGCAGTTGGCTAGAGTCTAGAGTGTTTGTCAGTGCCTGCTCGAAACTTTTATATAGCAGCCTCGCCTCAGTTGTTTGCGCAGTTGTGTGCCAGGACTTCTCGGCCGAAAGAAAAGAGCAACCGGGGGGGGGTCACACGGACGAGCAGGCTGAGTAGACATTGGGACTCCAATCATTGCAAAATCGCAGAGCTGGATTGTCTCATCGTGCGGCGTGCAATTGCATGGCATGGCAGGACAAAGCTCCGACAGAGAAAGATCCACAGTCACAGTCAAAGGCGTCACAGGTCGCTGTGACTCAGGCTATGGCCATCGAGACGGAGGATGCTGATCAGGCTGTGGTTGTGCCGTTGTAAGTTGTGCCCTTGGCCCTTGGTGACTGGTCCACCTAAGCTCAAGCTAAACCCCTACAAGTCTACAAGTTATCTAAGCCTAAACCCTAACTGTAACTGGCTAACTCTAAAGTAAACCTGAACCCATGTACCGGTGCAGACTGCAGTGGCAAGCAGACCACACAACATTGACTGCAGGCCTGCAGGCTGCAAGTTTACAAACTCACCTCTAGGATTCGTTGGTGAATTCCGAATTAATTCGAAATGAAACCTAGTAGCTTCAGAGTCCAAAGTTTAGGTCCTCAGTCCTCGGAGTCCTCGGCTCGGTTGAGAAGTCTAGAAAGTCTAGTATAGTAGTCTAGTCTTTAAACTTTAAATACTCTAAACTTTAGGCATCTTTAGGCATCATTAGACCGATTGAGATTTACACTTGAGACTTGATGTAAGGAAGTTTTCCTGATCCTCAGCCTCAACCCTAAAGCACTAAACTGTAAGTGCTGTAAACCCTAAACTAACTTTTTCGGCTCAAAGGCTCAAGCCAACTGTGGTGGCACGACCTACCAGTTTACTGTGGTGTAACAAATTGTGGTGTAGAAGTTAGAAGTAGCCGAAGTTCAGTGGAATTTGTTGAAACAAATCGCAGGAGGGGGGTGGGGATGCGCAGGGGGGGGGGGGGTGGCGGGGGATGAGAAGGCCTGTCCAACAGTTTTGAGTTTTGACAACAGTCTTGATTCAAGTCTAAGAGTATAAAAGTCTAAGAGCAGAAGGCAAGCGGCAGCTCAATGTGGTGGCCCTGGCTCCGCAGTGTTGATGTGGAGGCCGCCGTCAGAGCACTGACTGCGAGAGTGGCATGCAGCAGTCAATGCGGCAAACGAGATGGGTGCCTCGTTCAAGTTCTCTTTGCAAGCAGAGGTGAACGTGTATGACTGTTCATTGTTCGACAGGGTGGGGATGCGGAGGGAGGGCGGGGGGGGGGGTGAGAGCTCCAACATTTTTTTTGCCTGGTTCCGCAGTGTTGACGTGCAGGCCGCCATCTGAAGAGCACTGCCTGCGAGAGTGGCGTGCAGCAGTCAGTGCGGCGGCAAACGAGATGGGTGGCGCCGCCTCGTTCAAGTTCTGTTTGCAAGCAGAGGTGACCGTGTATGACTGTTCATTGTTCGACAGGGTGGGGATGCGGAGGGAGGGCGGGGGGGGGGGTGAGAAGGCCACGGACGAGCTCCAACATTTTTTGTGCCTGGTTCCGCAGTGTTGACGTGCAGGCCGCCATCTGAAGAGCACTGCCTGCGAGAGTGGCGTGCAGCAGTCAGTGCGGCGGCAAACGAGATGGGTGGCGCCGCCTCGTTCAAGTTCTGTTTGCAAGCAGAGGTGACCGTGTATGACTGTTCATTGTTCGACAGGGTGGGGATGCGGAGGGAGGGCGGGGGGGGGGGGGGAGAAGGCCACGGACGAGCTCCAACATTTTTTGTGCCTGGTTCCGCAGTGTTGACGTGCAGGCCGCCATCTGAAGAGCACTGCCTGCGAGAGTGGCGTGCAGCAGTCAGTGCGGCGGCAAACGAGATGGGTGGCCCCGCCTCGTTCAAGTTCTGTTTGCAAGCAGAGTTCGACACCACAGACGACACAAATATCAAATAACAGATTTAGATAACTGCCACACAGTCAGACAAACGACCCAGTAGCCTACTATGCACTGCATAGAGCAGAGTGAAGTATATTTTATAATGTACTTCCAAAGCGGTTGGATGAGGGGTATGCGGTATGCAGCATGGCAGCATGCAGCATGCATGACTTGTAAGTAAGCTAATATGACGATCACTACTTCCATTTCTAAAGCAGTTGGATACTCAAGGCAGTTACGCCGGCCGTGTGCTTGTTGTTCAAGCCGCGATGATGAGTGGCAACACGAGAGCACACCTCAGGTGGAGCGTGTCTGCCTCGTGGGCTGAGCCGTGGATGACTCCTCGGTCAACATCGAATCGCTTAGTCATCTACGATTCTACGGTTTTTTTCCTACAAAAAGCGATGGCTACGTCGGCCGTGTGCTTGTTGTTCAAGCCGCGATGATGAGTGGCAACACGAGAGCACACCTCAGGTGGAGCGTGTCTGCCTCGTGGGCTGAGCCGTGGATGACTCCTCGGTCAACATCGAACCGCTTAGTCATCTACGATTCTACGATTCTATGATTTTATTTTCAGCAATGGGCGATGGCGATGGGCGATGGGCAGTGGCGGGAATTTGTGAAAAGCCCGGAAGCCGGAGCCCAGGGCTGCATTTTGTATCCGACACCATTTTTGCCTTGACTGCCTTGGCTGCGCTTAGCTTGTGTGAAAAAAAAGGTTTAGTCTCGGTTTCGGTTTAGGGCAAGGCAATATTTCAGTAATGCTCTGGTGTTAGGAAGGGTCGGAAGGGAAGGGTGCTAAACCTTAAGTTTAACCCTAACCTTTCCCTAAACTAAACCCTAACCGCCCTATCGTCTATCTATCCCCTAAAAATCCCTAAACCCTGCACCTGCACCTACACCGCCTACACTGAACCCTAAGCCTAAACTGAACTGCTTAAGCCTAACAACAGCGATAAAGGCAGCCGCAGAGGAAGCAACTGAGGGGGTCACAGACGAAGAGGTGGGAAATCGGAATACTGCGGTGGTTTGGCAGTTAGGGTCGAACTCGAAC